GTAAAGGTCATTGGTTCTACTGTTCTCCAAGTATGACCAGCTTCATCTTTGACCGATAATCCTCGTCTTTCTCTTTTTTTCTAATTGTCTCTTTGTTTTCTTTTCCCTTTATCTTAGACATGTTCATAAAGTTGGAGGGTTTCAGAAGATTATTGCGATCGCCAAGTCGCGAGATCATTACTCTCCGAGGATTGTAAAAACAGCAAATCAGGTACGAAAGAACATGCAATTAACTCTTCAACTCTCAAGATTTGACCCTAGTTCTCCCAACAGCTTACAGATATTTCTTTGAAGTTGATGTAGAAAAAATGATCCTCTTACCGGCTGAGCTGGCGGAAGAGGCCAGGGAGGAGGTTCTCACACATTGATTGGGGGGCTGGGTAACAGCCAAGTCTCTATAATGATCTGGTTGTAAAATTACGACAACTTTGTCTAGTCTTATTGCCTGTTTGGTACGTGATGCATTGATACTGTAAAAAGAAGGTACATGCCAACCACTACACCCCTCTCCACTGAAGACTGAAAATGGGTTCTAAAGAATTGACAGGGATAGATGACAAAATACTTAGGGGGGGTGGGGAAATAGCCTTTGATGAACTGACATCCCAGTTTTCGAGATCTTAAAACCGTCAACTTTGAAATGAAGTTCAGTGCAAAACGTTTTGTGAAAATGAATCATAATTGCATGAGAAAAAGCAAGATTTGGACTCATGCACGTTTTAAAGCAGGCGTCGTCTGATTTTTTAAATCGCTTATTAGTTCTACGTAACTTAAACATTTCATTTTGCGTCTGTGTCATGTGTTGAAATGCCGTTTTCATTGTTGCACCACAGGTTTTAATAACTCTTTGGAACTTACCAGCTCTTCGAAGCTCTCTCAAAAAAGAAGGCTGGGAATTTACTAAAGAAATTGGAGATGAATACGGTCATGTTCCAACTACCCCGCGGCCTTACGACGAGGTAACAATGCCACGGGGACCGCAGAGAGGAGCGCCGTCTGCTGTCGGAAGGAACGAACCACGGCCAATACGATCCGACGAAACGTCGATCCCCGAACCTCAATATGACCCTGAACAAAGAAGTGCACCCCCAAGATTTTCCGAAGATGGTTACGAAGCCGATGACGATGCTCGGCGGCGAAGAGAACCGAACAACACACGAAACGAGTTGGAGATGGAAGACATGGGTGGCTATAGGGAAATTGATCATCGGTCGGGTGTCGAGAGAGGCGGGGGTGTTCAAGTTTTACCTCCGGTTGAGCCGCCGGCTTACCCTGACGGGGGTGGACAGCCTCAAGAAGAACCGGCATACGCTCGTGTAGATAAGAGTAAAAAGAAAACGTATAAATTACAAGGAGGGGAAGGTGCAACCTCTGACTCGTGGGTGTGAAAATAATTTCAAGAACGTTCTTTTGAACACTTTTTCGCATGAAGCTTGGAGATCGCTCACACACAAACCGCAGTGATCGAAAGAACTCTCAGGAACGTGTGACATCTTCGTGTACAACAGTGGTGTTTTTGTAAACGTCGCTAAATGGATCGAAATCGCTAGAAGGACGCAAGGAAAATTAAATTTTAATGATTGAAAAGCGTTTCTTCTCGGCAGACATTTAGGATTTATAGTGTTTTAAAGTTAATTGCGTTCACTGATTGAACGAACGCCACGTTGAATGCTGATTTATGGCAATTCTAGGGAAAACTGATTTTAATAATAGTTTGGTCACAGTGTAAATGTTTCATTTGTGCAACACATTCATACAATGTGAAAATTAACTGTTAGATGCTAGAAACTGGTTAATCACCTTGTTGAAAGAGGGCTTAGATGGCCTAGTAACATTTTTTAGTTGTTTTTGTATGGAAATAGTAAAAATAATTCGACCTAATCCGTTATCGTCTATTATACTACTTTATTGACACGGTAAATCTTCCTACATAAGATGCTCCAGCTTCTAACTTCTTGCAAGCTAAGTCGAAACGTTCCAAGTTCGTTATCCGCATATTTGACGAAGCAAAGAAATGAATTCACCATTCCATGATATCGGCCCTGTTTCTTGGATTGATCACAAGCAGCGATCAAATTATAGGTTGGTAGTATGCATACAGCATAGACTATGATTGACAATGACTGTTCACCAATAAACCATCAGAGAGGGCAAAAAATTGTTTCCTTAATCGAGAAACAGTTAAACATTTCTACTACATCACTTTATTCGGTTTGAATAAAAACAGGTAATTTAGTGTTAACAACTGAGTTGAAAACGAAACTTGGCCACCGTAAAGAGTGAAAAAGCTGACGTTTCGAGCGTTAGCCCTTCGTCAGAGCGATTGGAGGAATTGTGGGTTTTAATGCAGCAAGTGGAGCTACGCTATTGGTGAGAGTATGTTGACGAGAAAACAAGAATAAATCAGTTGAATGCAAAGCGCTCGTTGATACCGTGCGAATTAAGAGTGTCGATTTGGAAGATAAATTTCTGTTCTAGTGTTTTGCGACTTTCCGAACTGCCTAGGTATAAGGAAAGGCCGCAAACTGCCATATGTTGTTTAGAATGATTAGGGAGATTAAAGTGTCTAGCGACTGGTTTGGATACGTTCTTGTCATTTCTTTCCACGTCGCGAAGGTGTTCTCGGAATTGGTCACCTAGTCGTCTACCTGTTTCACCAATGTATAACTTATTGCAATAAGTGCAAGTTATGCAGTAAATGACGTTGGCGGAGGTACACTTAAAGTGTAAAGTGATCACTGAGTGATCTTAATGGATCTCTTGGGTTCCGATATTTTCTCTATGTTATGAATGAAAGGACAAGTTTTGCATCGTGAGCGAGCATATTTGAAAGATTGGTAATTGGTTTGAAACGAACTTCTGACCAAAAAGTTGCCTATGTTTTTGTCACATTTGAATTAAATAAGTGGGAGTTGCGAAAAGACTGGCACTATCTTTTCGCAATCGCTCTTTTCCAATCGCTCTGACGAGGGGCTAACGCTCGAAACGTCAGCTTTTTTATTCTTTACGGTGGCCAATTTACGTCTTCAACCCAGTTGTTAACACTAAATTACCTGCTATACTCTCCCACCGATGCAGCACCACAGTTTCTTTAGAAATCTACCCCCTTTATACATTTGAATAAAAACACCCCACATCCTCTCTTCTTTTCTTGTATAGGACTAACTTGAACTAACTCTAACACCGTAAGCGCTTGCAAATGATCTCTTGAAGACTGTTGATGGGAAGGAGATACTTTAAGATCGAAAAGTGGAGACCGGCAAGGATACTGATATAATTGTCTATGCTATGTTATTCTTCCTTGTGTGATATTTTCTTCGTCCGCGTTTTTTATTTCGTCGTTCGACTTCAGTTTTCCTATTCCAAATTTGGATTAGAAAGCATCCCCTCCTATTGACAGGTTTTCAAGGACGCATCTTTGTGATAGAAATTCCAACACAAGGACGAGCATTTTCGTGCAGGACGTGTCTCTAATTTTCAAAAAATCGTTGCGCTCGACGAAGGAGAACGTACAGAACGCATACTAATCGTGTCGTTTTTACGGAATTCACTCTCGAGGGTTTTATGGACCAACCCAAGGGGATCGATCGTGATGCCATGCGATTTCAGGTTTTGGGCACCATTTTGGACTGGCTGGCTGGCTGGCTGGCTAAGTGGCACAAATAGCCTCGATCTCGTGTGCAAATGTTTTCTTGGCCGCCTTGAACTGAAAACAACGATTTTTTTCCCGCACAATCAGTACAATAAAAAAAAAACTTTTACTAGAGATCGAACGCACTTTACTGATCTTTGATTATTACTAGATTAATACCATTTAGCACACACCAGAGAAGAGGCAAGGTCCGGGGTAAGATTGTTTTAGATGTGAGTGTTGTAGTGCACTTGCGCGATTTATGTAGTCCATAGTCATATAATGAAAAGTAAAGCATAAGTTAAAAATCCATTCAGAATCATTATACTTTATTTATCGGGAGAGATTTTTTACAGTGATTGTGCCTATTTCCTATCGATTTATTGCTTTCCTTTAATTTTAAGGTAAATGAAAAAAGGGTTTAAGTTTCTTAAGTACAGTGACCCACAACTGTCACGGCAAAAGAAACAAAGTAACGGCCTCTCGGCAAAAGAAAAAGAGATCCACGGCAAAAGGAAGAACCTCACAGCAAAAAGGAAGAGACTCGCGGCAAAAGAAAAAACCTCGCGGCAAAAGAAAAAACCTCGCGGCAATAAGAAAAAGACTCAGGGCAAAAGAAAAAACCTCTCAGCAAAAAGAATACCCTCACGGGAAAAGTGAAAGACTCACGGCTAAAGAAATAATCTTACGGCAAACGAAAAAACCTCACGGCAAAGAGAATACCCTCACGGGACAATTGAAAGACTCACGGCTAAAAAAATAACCTCACGGCAAATGAAAAAACCTCACGGCAAAAAAAAACCTCACGGCAAAAGTAAAAGACTCGCGGCAAAAGAAAAAGATTCACAGCATAAAAGAATAACCTCACGGCAAAAGGAATAACAATGTCCTCACAGCATAGAAGAATAACCTCACTGCAAAAGTAAAAGACTCGCAGCTAAAGAAATAACCTCACGGCAAAGGAAATAACAATGTCCTAACGGCATAAAAGAGAGCGTGGGGGCTGGGAGGTTTTTTTCTTTGGCCGTGAGTTTTCTTCTTTTTGCCGCGAGGTTATTTCTTTTGCCGCGAGGTCATTTCTTTTTTCTTGACTATTGTGGGCCAGCTGCGTCGGTGGGAGAGTATAACAGGGTAATTTAAGTATTATTAACTGATTGGCCACCGTAAAGATTTAAAAAGCTGACGTTTCGAGCGTTAGCCCTTCGCCATTCTCTGACGAAGTGCTAACGCTCGAAACGTCAGCTTTTTAACACTTTACGGTGGCCAATTTACCATATCAACTCAAAAGTACTATCAACTGAAATAAGATTAAAATTTATTAAATTAAAATTATCCTATAATTTTAAGGGACTGGGATCGAGTTCGTGATGTCAGTTGGTCAACATGGCGATGATCTGATTTAGCGAGCGGAGGACACATAAACTTTCTCGTCGAAGGCGTGAATAATGCCCGAAAATTCATCTTCTTGGGTGTTAGTATTATAGAAGGATGTCCTGATCTGTTTCTTTGACCAGGATGGAGACAAGGTCGGTGAGGATATACTCAAATTAGACACGATTTTCTTCAATATTTATGGTTTTTGATCGCGAAAAAATTGTTTTACGAATGGTGAAGTTGTCATGACGTTTGATTTCTTTGCCATTTTAGCTCAGAAAATGATGTAAAAATGGAGGAAGCACCCTCAGATAAAGGTGATTTAACAATATATTTTTTTGTGGTTTTATGTTATTTCATATTGCTCATTTTGTGCCATTGATTAGTACTTTAGTCTATCATGGAGAGATTAACGTAGTACGCAGAAAGGGTGTTATTTTTAGTGACATAGATTTGTTTCTTTAGAATCAATAAAGAAATACAACAGATTTCGAAATATATCGCTGCATTAAACAAACTATTGGGTCTCTTGAGTGATATGTGCTTCCAAGTGTAACTCGAGAATCGTCATGTAACGATGCCATTATACACGTAATAAATCAATTTTATATGGGAAAGCGATCCACTGTTAGACTTAGGTAAGGATACTCTCTAGCGTGTAAATAATTTTACTGGATTTCTGTCACCAGGATATGATGAATTAATATGATAACAAATATTGAAGTTTGAAATGGATTTCAGGCTTCCAGGCTTCCAGGCTTCCAGGCTTCCAGACTTATGTCAAGTTCGAATTTTATTCTCTTTAACTGAGAATCATGGTAAATTGCCCTAGTTCGATAAAAGAAAAGAAATTAATTGAAACTCAGTTGAAACAATTTCTACTCAAAAAAACTAAAATTTGTTTCGGTGTTAGACATTAAAGTAATTACAGGCATTTGTTGGACAGAGGTGACTTTTGCACTTTGTTTATGTGGCAAATCTTAGCAATTTTATGTATACACAATAAAATTTTAAATTGAGCAAAGTGTAAACCTAGTAACTAGGAATTGCAGTGTACTTAGGGAGAAATACATGTACCTCCCACAAAGGTGGGGATGGATGTAGTGCAATTGCCAATCGTGACTTTTTTTCAAAAATTTAATACAGAAAGATGTTACTCATTTTGTCATTAACGTTGGACCAAGAAAGAAAAACCTCCTTGATTAATCTATTTACTCAGTCAACCCTATCAACATTGTTCAGAGATCCTAGAAGTGTGCAGAATGTTTGTAATCTGTGGAGCTTTCAAGCGCAGTTTCAATTTCTCATGGAAGACTCTGGTTTCTCTTTGTCCCACTATGAGACAAAATAAACAACAATTTTTTTTTTAAAAAAGTCAAGATCTCAATACATAGCCATGACCTTTGTCTGATGAAAAGACATAGAAGCTGTTAATAAATAAAACTTATTGTTAGTAGTAAGATTGTCAAAATAGAATCAGACCAGGTTAATTCTTAAGAAAACCAAAGAATTCTGCATGCATAGAAGTGCGAGAATTCCCTAGTCCTTGATGACTGATTACAACCTCTGGAGAAGTGCTTGTTGTTTGTCGCCATTAGCTGTTAGGCTTTAAATAATTCTTCTGTATTTAATTATAATGCTGATTTAGGGATATGTTATGGTATATTTTTTACAGAATCTGGGACAGGACTTCAGGGATTTGAGGATAAGGAAAAATCTGAACAACAACACCACCATGATGATAAGCAGTGAGTTTTGGTCTAATTATGGCTATCAACTTAACAGATAAAAAGAAAACCAAATTTGATTCTCTTTACCATCAAGGGCAGAGTTGCAAGTATTGCTATGGTGTGTCATTGTTTTGTATATTCAAAGCACATTTTGATGTCATCTGTGATCTTTTACTAAACAGACCCATGGCAAAATGGAATCTACTTGTTAACCCTTTAACTCCCAAGATCTCACTAGTGATTCTCCTTACTATCTCTCATACAGTTCTTGTGATGTTAGTTTGGAGGATTTAGTATTGGATCATCTTATAATCCCCAAACTGATATTTTTCTTTATTCTCATAACTTGTCTGCTTGATATTGTTTTGATATTGTAAGGAGAAATTCTGTCTTGGTCACTAATGGGAGTTAAAGGGTTAATCCTTTAACTCTTAAGATCTGATTGTTACTTCTCTCCTCTTGCTGCCATATGATTCCTTGTAAATTAGTTATGAGAATTTTGGTATAAGATCAAGATAAAAACTTTTACCTGATAAGTTTGAGTATTCTCATTAACTGAATGCTAGAAATCATATGAATATCATAGGGAGAAGTTACATGTTGGTCACTTCTGGGAGTTAAAGGGTAATTAGAATTTAGTGTTTGTTATTAATTGGTATTTGGAATTTGCTATTTTGTTTATTAGAATTTGGTGTGTGGGACTGGGTGTTAGTTTGGTTTGGTGGATCCCTCTGATGTCTGTTCCTTCAGTGAATTTCAAAATGACTAGGACTTAATTGTATAAAAAATCCTTTGTGCTCCTTTGGTCACTTCAGTTATTAATGGATCAATTGATTTTTATTCAGATTGGATGCATCCCACCAAATTCCTGCACTCTCAAAGTCGAGGGTGTTCCTTTTGAACATCTCTTGGTTTGGCATGAATGTCATGTATCTTATTCTGTCAGTTGAGGGTAAGTACTTGATTCAACCAGCTAGTTGTAAGGTTGGTATTATGTGAGAAAGAACACAGGTTCAGCAAAATTTCTGTACAAATTTCTTTTGGTTACTAGTGGTTGGTTACAACATAGAGATAATCTTTTAGATGACTGCTGCTTGTACTTGTTTGGCCTGAATGGATTCCCTGTTTCACTGAGTGTAATTAAACGTTTTCCCTTGCACAGAGGTGGCACACCTTGTGCCAAAACCTCAGTTCTTAGTATTTTTTTAGTTTGCAAAGTTGTTTTCCCCAAGAGATTTCTTTAAAATAAATATCAGTGTGCTTTTTTTTTTAATTTTTAAAATATCTGTGGTATTTGTTATTTGCAACAGAATGTTGTTGATCACAAGTTATAGTTACAGGCTCAGCTTTACAATTTAAGTGTATGTGAGATTGGTTCCTGAAAGAAAGGTTCATATATGCTATAATCCTAGGTCTTTTATTATAATCATATATTTTAAAATTACTTTTAAACTGCTTGGCTCAGATTATGTAATGTTCAAAGTTTTTAAAGAAGGCTTCATTGTTAGTTTGCTTTTTTCCAAATAATAGTTATTGCATTAATATTGCTTTTATCAGCCAGAGACACACTGCACTCCGTGTCCAGAGGTCCTGGTTTGAGACCTGGCCAGGTCAATGTGTTCTGTTCTTGGACAAAACACTTCAGTCTTGTAATGTCTCACTCCGCTCCATTCCATAAGTCACTTCATGTTAAAGGGAAACTAGGATAAGCTCTGGCTTGGTAGGCCAATAGGCTTGAGTATAGACTTAACCTTTTTGTTGTTTTTATCCAGTTGTGCCGTCTCAAGTTTATGCACTAGTTGGCTCTGGGCAGAAGGGTCAAGTGCTTGGAGGCATGGTTGCTGCTGGAGCAGGTGAGTTCATCAGTTTCAATTGTCAGTAAAGTAATAATAAGTTTTCTTGTTGATCCCACATTGTAGTCTATTTTCCACAGGAATTGTAATTTTTTGATGAATTCATTTTTCTGCAGTGGTTACATTTTTCTTGAGCCCTCTGGTTGGAATGAAAAGGTAAGAGTAACACTTAAGAGCCATCCAGGATGTGTCCTGTTATTTCTTTTATAGTAAATCAAATTTATATATTTTTGTTTTGTACCATATTTATAGATTCTTGTCTGACCTGTTTCAATGTGGTCAGCATTTGACAGTAGAAAATTTATATTTATTTCATCACCTTGGTCTGATACTGTATCTGTAAGCAAGGAAAATCAACTTGAGATCAGCTTTCCATACATTTCATTTTATTGTTCCCTAGTGATCGTCTTGTGTCACAGTATGGAAAACGACGCCCTCTGATGCTTGGTGGAACTGTGTTACTTTGGTATGATAGTTATTTTGCACCTTCATTTGGTCTTAAATTTTTATTCTCATCAGCTTGGTTGTCATTACTGGTATACAAACTTGCTTGAAAGTTTTTTTCCTTTCTTTTGTAGTATATCGCTTTTTGGAATGGCATTTAGTGCTCCTGATATTGAAAGGTGAGAAAAAAATTTCCATGCATTGTTCATGGGTAATTGCTCTTCTCTAAAATGACCTTTCATTTGGTGAGTGTCTTTGTGGGGTTAGTGAGCTAGTTTGTGATCACTATAGCCTCCTTCTTTGCTACAGCTTGTGTTTTAGATAAACTGTCCATAATTATGCTTGTCTGTCTGCCTGCTTGTGAGCATCTGCCTGTCACCGGTCTGTCTGACAATCAGTCAGTCATGTAGTCAGTGAGTAGGTTGGGGGTCAGTCTCTATCAGTTGTTCATTCAGTCAACAGACTGTCAGTCTGTCTACCTGTCTGACAATCAGTTAGGCAGGTAGTCAGTCAGTCAGTCAGTCTGTCTGTCTATCAGTCAGTCGGTCATTTAATCATCTTTTTTGTCTGTCTGTAAGTCAGTCAGTCTGTTGTTTGGTTGGTAATTTGTTTCCTGAAACATCTTTAGGGCCAGAATCTTATTTCCTCAAGTCTGATTGGCTTATAAAGTATCAAAACTAGTCCAGCTTTTTATAATACAGACAACAGTACAGAATTTTTTCCATTCTATTTGCATCAAAGTGGCAAGAAGCAAACCAGCTGGTAAAAAATTAACAAGTTTTTTGCTGGCCTAGGTCGTCCTTATTGGAAAAAAGTGCCCTTAGTCATGGCCAAAGACTTCAGGTTCTGTTTTTTCTCATTAAGACTCAATTTCTGAGAAATAACACATGTCACCAGCATGTCCTCAAGTTTTAGTTGAAGTTGGTTTTCAACAATCCTATTAACAGTGTTCTCTTTTCATTTTATTTGCAGTGACATTTCAAATGTTACGGTAAGTGAGAGTATCCTTTGTGATGTAAATGTTTCGTGTCTTTCTACATGCAATTTTGTGGTAGATCTTGCATCCATGGAGTAAGTTAGTTAACAGAACAGTGTAAATCTTCTTTCTGTTTAGTGCTCTATGGATTTAAAGCTGCGGCGATGTCTGCCGTACTATAACCTGACCATCTTAGAGCAGTCAGAGGACAATTCTACTGCTAATTCGGACACAAGCTTCTTGCTGAGTATGCTAATGCAGAAAGAAGACTCGAGAGGAAATATAGGTTTGTTTATAAAATTAACCCTTTAACTCCCAAGATCGGATAGTTAATTCTCCCCCTCTATCTGCATCACATTTCCTTGCAAATCAGTTAACCTTTTCACTCCCAAGATCTAATGAGTAGTTCCCCTTACTGTTTGCCTTACAGTTCCAATGATTAAGTTTGGAGAATTTGGTACTGGATCAACTAATAATCCCCTAAGTTATATTTCTCTTTATTCTCATTACTTGTCTGCTTGAAGTTATATTGAAAATGTAAGGAGAAATTCTGTCTTGGTCATTCATGGGAGCCAAAGGGTTAAGAGAATTCGGTGTCAGATCAATATAACAACCTCTACCTGACAATGTTGAGTATTTTGTTGAAAAATGTATGGATATTGTAGGCAGAAGTTATATCACAATCTATTCTGGGAGTGAAAGGCTTAACACTCTTTTCTATTGTTGACACTCTTACCTAATTTAGAAATTATGTAAAAAATGTTTAAAACTGAAATGAAACTGTGAGGCACAGCTGACTAACATCCCTATAACTCCTTATAAACATCTACCAAGGTGTATTAAACCAATCTTCCAATTGATTGGCCCTACAGGTCTTTACATTGCATTCTATCTGTGTGTAATGGCATGCTATTCCATAATGAGTGTACCATATAATGGACTGATTGCTGATTTGACCCCACCATTCCAAAGAGGTAAGATACTGGAAATTAATAGCACCTTAAGCTGAAAGGAATGATTGAATGTGTGAACTGACCATGAAAATCCTGGACTTTGTAATGTGCAGATTTTTGCCTAAATTACATTGTGTAGCCCCAGAAAATAGTTACATGCTTTCATTTTATATCCTCCCCCTTTCCCCCTGAAAAATTCCTTTTTAATTTCCTTCTCAGGGCTTTGCTTGGTAAAAGGTTTCTTGTCAGTTGGGAATTTGTCTCACCTGACAGGGTGATTTTGTTTGTATTTACAAACTTTCTGTCCCCTTTGAACATCCAAGGTTTCCCTCTTGGGGTGTTAGTGGAGATTTTCTTTAACTACACATTATTTAAATTTTGCTTTATCAACAAACTGAAATATACTTTAAAGAAAATAGGAAAATATTTAAAAAGTAAAAATGGGTTTTCTTTAAATAAAAGTAACAATAAGTCACATTCATTTGGAAATTAAATGTTATGTATATAGCTAGATGATAATGACTACTGAATATCTATTTAAAGTGTTTGGATACCTATTGCAATATTTTAAACAACTGTTGTTAATTTCTTGTGTAGGAGTGTTAAATAAGAACATTGACAGAAGCGGTTTAAATTATCAATGAACCTTTATACCAATTTTTTTTTGTTTTGAAATTTTAATAAAATGAGGTGGATTTGCAGTAAAACCAATTTGACCAGTTTAAATTGGTTGAGTTTAAATCTAAGAAACTATTAGTAAATCTTTATAACCCTTTACACCATATCAGTATGCACATTCTCCATACTGTGTTCTCAGTACATTTCCTAAGGTGAGATTGTTTCACAAACAAGAGCTTCTTCAGCTGGTGATCATTTCCTTTATTCTTGTTACCCAAATGTTTGATTCAGAAGTGATGCTGTCAAAAGAAATAAGATGCTCATCACTTTTAGGATGTAAAGGGTTAAAGTTTGATCAAAGTTTTTCATTAACATGACATCATAATTTTTTTACCATATTCGTCTTTTTCAATAACAATGAATATAATTATAATATTTTTTGACTATTTAAAAAAATGCGATTTAACTTTGAAAACTGTTAACCTCACTAATAACAGGCTTCAGTTCTGGTGTTATGGGAGCCATGACACTAGTTGGAAATGTAACAGGAGCTCTCATAGGCTTTTTCTTTCCGGTGAGTGTTTAACTGTACTGACTGTGATATTCAATGAAACTGAATAATTTTTTTAAACAAACCAAGAAATTGTTATTAATCATTGATTCAGCCCTGTAACTCTAAAGATCTGATTGGTAATTCTCTCCTCATGCTGTTACGCACTTCCTTGTAAATTAGTTACAGTACCTAGAATTTGGTGGTAGACCAAGATAAAAACCTCTACCTGTTAAAATTGAGCATTCTCATTACCTGTTTGCTGGATAATGTAAGTACAAAGTAAAATTTGACTATTTTTTCAATAACTGTCTATAACATTTGGAAGAAAACTAAACTCAGTGCAACCTTCTGTTGGCTGGGAAGTTGAATAGCATTGAACAATGCTCTTCCTTGGAAATCATGTTCATTGATTGCTACTAAGGATATCTATGAAATGAAAAGGGACAGGAAGAAAATAATATTTAAATTCTTTGTTAATTGTGTGGAGTTTGGGACACCCAAATAGTTCTAAGAACTAATCAAGTGGGTCTCAAAGCAAATAATTCTAACCAAAGGAATACAGTGTTAATAACACTTTAAATAAAAAGTATTACTTTTCATACTAACTACTAAGAATTAAAATATATTTACACAAACTATTTAAGAGTTAATAGTGCTATTATAATCCTCAATCGTAGAATTATTTATATTTTGATGAAATTTAAAAAAGGGAGTGATTTGTTTAACATTAATTGGTAATGAATTCCAGAGTGTGGTATCAGTTTAACAAAGAGAACAAATACCACATTGAGTTGTTTGAATAGGGTTTACACACAGATTTTCATTCAGTGATTGACGTGCATAATATGAATGAACAGAAGAGAAGCATGCTTTTGATGACAATGGTTGTTTTGATTAAAACTTTTCAGTTGGTAATTATATTATTATTAGCTTTTTCCATTGGCTGTATTAGTATAATTATGTATCTCTGTCTTGTTTTAGAAAATTGGAGTGGTTGGCACGTATTCCTTGGTGTCCATCCTGTACTTTTTGTGTGTAGTGCTCACTGTGTTCTCCTGTCCAGAGCCCCCTAATAAAGTGACCCACAAGCCCATAGGTGAGTTGTGACCCCTGTGATTCACATTGTTTACATTTGACAATTTTTCTTGTGAATCGACCAGTTGCATTGTGTTAAGGATAGATTGTTATCGTATAAACTGTGCCCTGCATGATTTCTTTTGAAAAACATAATCAATAATAGAAAAATCCTGTTATGAGGGTCGTGCATAATGGGTTAAGGAGGGGTACAGCCCAGCATAGAGCCCTGTGACATGCCAAATGCTAGGTTAAAGGCAGAAAGAGAATGTAAAGTAGTGGTCACCTGAGAAAATTGTTATTAACTAAGGTAGGCTGGGTGGAACAATGAAATACTTGACACAGTCATGAATCAAATGCTCATGTCTCTTACCAGGTCTGAAGGCTGTATTTCATGCCTACTGGGAACCATTAAAAGGTGAGTTCCAAACAAGAACCTCTCCCTTTCCCTTGGAACTTACTAATGGGCTGAGTTTATTTGACTGTCATTCCTCTGCCCGATGATTAGTTTATGTTTTATGCTCAGTAACATCTTGAGCTCCAAGCACAATTTCATCAGACTGGGTTTGTTAATCTTTTACACCCTAACATTAGTATGTACATTCTTCATACTATTCTCTTTGCATT